TGTGTGTGTGTGTGTGTGTGTGTGTGTGTATGTGTGTGTGTAGAGGTGAGGAGGTTATGATGAAATGGAGAGGAGAAAAACTGAAAGTAGTTTAGAGAAGGAAGATGGAAGAGTGGAAAAGATGTAAATACAGTACTCATGAAATTCTCAAACATTTTAAAGAATGCATACTCTTGTGAGAAGAAACAAAACAGAGGGGTGAAATCAAATAAAAAAAACTCTGAGTAAAGATGAAGATACATTCTTCTTCTGAGGAGAAGAGTGCCATAGAAATGTAAACAGATTAAAAAAAATCAAGTTTGTGGAAAGTGGGAAGTGAGTAAGAGAAACAATAATATTTAAAGACAGAAAGGTGCCCTTGTCACCATGCTAGTTAAGGTGCTATAGATGTGTTGGTTTATGTAGTCTGCATAAAGTTGTGCAGTGCACATTATTTTGGTTTCAGCCGACTGGGAAACTGTATTTGGACACTTCTGAGCCAAATATGTTCATTGTCTGGGTAGGAGCTCTACCCCACCCCCCAACTCTTGATAGGGTAAGAAACTGCTCAATAACATTGAGGTAAAAACATTGTGTCACAGAGAAAAGCTGAGACTTAAACTATGTTCAACAGAGGATACTATTTCACCCAATGATATAAAAGTGTCCACAATGGGAAAGAGATGCCAGAAGTTTAACTGTGAGAAGCTCATCCACTGGGAGAAAACTAAGTTGGGAATTCCAGCAGACTGCCTCAACTTTCCTATTCTGTTCTTCTGGATGTTTGTAAGCCCCCTGTTGGATGATGTTACCTCTCTTTTTCCTTTGCTTGGAAGCCTCACCAAAGGGAAACCCTATCCAGGCTTGGAAACCCCAACTGGCAGCACTGTCACAGCTTCATCAGATGGTTTCTGCTGAATGCATCAGTGCCTGATTTGATAATGTTTTGTTGTCTATCTCTTCCTAGTTATTTTTCTACTTTGGCTGGCTATGGATGTAATGAGCCCACTTATTCAAAACAAAAAAGGAAGGTTCTTATAGACCATTCCCTGGACCTTAGAGAAGAAAAGAAAAAAACTTACACAATGTAGTTAAATGAATTAGTTAAATCTTTTTCTTATTTTAAGAGGGTATATGGTACCTTAACCATGCTTCATTTTGCCTTAGTCCTAATTAAGTGAAAAATTGGCAAATGTTTATTAATTTATATCTTGATTTAATTTATATATTTATTAAATTAATATCTCCTCTTGTTTGAAAAGTTTTATAATACTAAATTTTAGGGGGTCTTATATATTTCTCAAGTATCTGCAAATATTACTGCAATAAAATTTGGAAAGATTCACTTGTTCATTGTGTTTCACTTCACAAAATAGTTCCTATTCTGTAAAGGAACAAAATGATCACAGAAAGGCCCAGAAGAAAAATAGTACCAGAATGTTTAAATATGTGATCTTTAAATGTTTTTGTACAAGTATATTGGTTTTCTAAGTTCACTTAAATGATTCAAAATTGTGCTCCAGCAAAAT